TGAATTTTCAGCAGCCATTACTTCAGCCATTAGTCTTCAGTGTCACATGATTATTCAGATATAACTCTTAAGCATCTGAAATCAAGATTTTGCTGCTTAATTTTTTTTTTCTGGAAATCATTAATATTAATATTATTAAAATAAATTATAAAAAATATTAAAATATATTAAACTGACCAAAAGTGACAGTAAAATAATTTACAATGTTACAAAATATTTCTATTTCATTTTTTTTTTCTTTGACAATAACAAGAACCATTATGTTTAATTGAGCACCAATGATAATTAAAAAATATGTGAGCACAAAATCACCAATCATTAGATCATTAGATTCTGAAGGATCATGTGAAACTGAAGACTGGAGTAATGATGCTGAAAATTCAACTTTGCATTACAGGAATAAATCTGAAAACATATTAAAATAATAATAATAATAATAATAATAATAATAACACTTCTTTTAAATTGTAATAATATAATAATAATAATAATAATAAATTCAACTTTGCATTACAGGAATAAATCTGAAAACATATTAAAATAATAATAATAATAATAATAATAATAATAACACTTCTTTTAAATTGTAATAATATTTCACATTATTATGCTTGTTTGTTTTGTTTTGTTTACAAAAAAATAAAATATAATAAAATAAATTAATAATCAAATATCAACTATTATCTTAATTATTCAAAACTTTTGACATACATACAGTGTGCATACATTTATAATTATAACATTAATAATTAAAAATATTCAACACATTTTTGTTGAAACAATAATACCCTTATGAGAGTAGCTCAACTGGAGCTGATGGGTAAGTCACCTGTATGTTGAGCAGTGTGGCTCCAGTCCTCATGGCCTCACTGACCTCCAGGCTGTATATGAGCTGAGGGAAACGGGGAGGACTCTGGTTGTTGGGGGGCAGTACTTCGATATACACTGTAGTGATGGAACTTCTGAAGAAACAAAAGAAACATGATTTATATTCCTTTATTTGACAAACGTATTAAGTGTCTCACTCAAGGGTACGCCATGATAACTAATGCATCCCCTCCAGCTACTAACTATGCCACACCAGACACAAAACGATCAGAATGCACAACGAGTTTCAACATATAATTTCCTAAATTGCTATGGCTCTGTTCCAAAATCAAGTGATCTGACTAAATATAGGCAACACTGTAAGACACCACAGGCACTCCTGACATGTGGCAATTTCAAACAATGCAATTTCAAAAAGTAGAGATTATATAATCACACTGCCTTGTAAGATGCATTCTTTTAACTATAAGGCAGCATTGCATGCTGTATAATAATAATAATAATAATAATAATAATAATTATTATTATTTTTTTTATAGTAATGTTTACGGAATGTTCTTTTAACTTTATTACTATTTTATTTATGTTAAAATAAATACTTTTAATTTATTTTAAAACATTCTTAGAACAACATTCTCGGAATGTCCTTGATGATGTTATTTGTACTTAAACGTTCTAAGAAACATCTTTGTAACCTTTAAATAAAGTTATAATCACAACGTGAACACTGGATATTTTAATGTTCTTTTGAATATTAAAAATAAACGTTAACATAATCTTAAAATTTGGGTGAAAAAGTTGTAAAAAACGTTTTTTTTTGTTTTTTTTTACCTTTAAAAAAAAACATAATCACAAAAAGAAAACAGGATATCTAGTCTTCTTGGAATACTAAAAATTAACGTTAATATAACGTTATATTTTGAGTGAAAATAAAGAACGGTAGAAGAGTGTAAGAAACGTTCTTGTAACCTTTAAAGGGGTCCTATTATGCTTTTTCACTTTTATAATTTTAGTCAGTGTGTAGTGTGTATGTTTGGGCATAAAAAAGATCTAGAACGTTACAAATCTCAAAGTCCACTCCAAAGGGAGATATTTTGTTTTTTAAAAATCCCTTTTCAAGAACTTCTCGTTCAGTGTGCGACCGCCTGAAACGCTGTTTTTTCACCTTTTTACTGAGGACAGCTTCCACACGAGGGAGTACAGTGCCGGATTCGCCAAAAGCTTTGGTTGAAAGACGGAGCAAGGGGCGTGGCAGCACTGAAACACCGTCTAAGCTGTTCGCCAATCACAACGCACTGGGACAGCTAACCAATCACAACACATTTTGTTTTTCGGAAGGCGGACCTTCATCCAAGCCGGAACTAATCGAGCCGTTTGTGCCAGGCTGGGGAGAAAGGTATTTTAATAATGTAAATTATGTGAAAAATAATGCGTTTTTCGAACCACCAAGCATGAGAGCATGTTCTAGTACACCCCCAAAACATAATCAATACTTTGTAAAAGAGCATAATAGGACCCCTTTAAATAATGTTATAATCACGACAAGAAAACTGGACATTTCGTCATTTTAGAAACATTTCAAAACAATGCAGTGGCTTCATAACCTAAATTTGTTACTTGGTTATAGATGCATCACATAAAAGATTGTTGACTTAAACATACACGTTCACTTGGTTTCAGTTTTATAACTGAAAGATGAATCAAACGTATTACTTACTATTATTACTGTAATCATGAGATGCAATCGGATGCTGTTGATTGAGCACATGCAGCTTTTTTTTGTATGGACTCGGATATGGATTTTCTTTTGACAGAAAGAAAATCACCATGAAGCTTTCTCCAAGATCTGAACACGATCTGTAAGCCTAGCTAACAATAGCAGTCCAATTCCAGGTTGTTTTCTGGATGTTTAGTGAAAACCCAACCTGGTGCTGTCATTGTTTTATAACACATTGTATCAAGGCACACATCAGCGTGGCTGAAGCTAATTAGATCGGGGAGTATTTTCGCTTTGGAAATGTTCCAGTATTATGAATTTGATGCCAGCACTCTCATAAAACTTTAAAAGAGAAAAATAAGAGATGAAAATAACTATCTGGTTCTCACAAGCTCAACCGCCATCTGTCCAACACATATAATAGCAAACTTTGGCTTTAACCATAAACCTCTCAACCTCGATAAAGTGGATACACAGTTTCAACCAAGTATCGCTCTGTGGAGAAGAACTTCACATTTAGGTTGATTTGTTGTGAATATTAGACGCTTTTAAACTTGTTCCCGAACAGCAAAGTGAAACAATGCATTTCCTGAACTTCGCTTACCCCCGTTCTATTTCTGCTTCATTCCTCTGTATTGATTTGGCAGTCAGCAAGAATTACAGAGGGCAGAGGCTGCTATGAATTGGACAGGAGGGGAGGTAGAGGCAATTAGAGTGAAAAGCCCTTAATTTCCGCTCTTTCAAGTGTCAGCTGGACAAGAGCAGGGGCCAATATTGGCAGAGTGTTCTTGGGGATATCTCCGAAGCAAAATCTGTCACCGTGTGGCATTGTATCGATCTCAAACTGGGCATGCGAGGTGGAGTCTTCTGTTAGAGAGTGAGAGGTGCTCTCTTTTTCAGCCCTGATTGGGTTTTCAGCTGATTTACCTTCTCTGGGATGCAGGGCCGTTGTCGGAGGCCCTAACGGTGAGGGCGTAGGAGCGGCCCACGTTCAGGTTGACACCAGGCAGCACGGTGATCCTTCCTGTGTAGTCATTGATGGTGAAGTGTCCCTGATCCCCTGCCAAGATTTTGTAGCTCACCAACCCGTTGGGACCCTCATCAGCGTCCACTGCTGTCAGCTAAAAAAAATAGATTGGAGCCGTTACTTCAGAGAGGACCTGCAAAGGTGCTTATTCACATTTATCACTGTCCAAGCCTCCTCTTTGGACCAGGCGGAATCATGAAACCTGCCAAGTACATGTCCGGGTCATGTTTGCCAGATTCACTTAAAAGATTTCAGCACATTCAGCAACTGGCTACACTGGATTATTGGTCATTAGTCAATAAAGATACTGTTTGTGTGTGTGTGTGTGTATGCGTGTACCTGTTTTTCTATTCTGGTGTATTAAAATGACATTTTAATTAAAATGATATTTTAATAATAATTTATAACAATTATATAATGTAGCACAGCTCTTTCTGAATCACTGATTCTACAGACAGGGAGAAAAGGATTTATTTCAGAAACTTTATGAAGTGACAACTACCAGCATACAATGGAGCAGTTAACCTTTTACACGATACAACTTGCACTTTTTAATTTTGACTTCTGGGGGTCAATCTTTCAGCATGTCAGAGCAAATATGCGCTCTGCTCATGTTCTGATTGCAAAGGAATCAGTTATGCACACATTTCCAAAGAAAATTCCCATTAAGACAAAGATTAATCCGGGATCTGAGCAATTATTGCAGCAATAAGCCCCTCCTAAATGTGGAAACTACAGCTATTAATTCAAATGAGTGGATTAAAGGTGAAAAGCTCTGCAAAAACAATTGTGCCTTGTTTTCCAGGAAAGACATCTAAAACAAGGTCAATGTATTTGAGAAGTGAAATTGTATAAAATACATATTTTCAGAGAATATATCCATAGTTTATTTTTTGACTGTATTTTCTACTATATAATGTAAAAAAAAAACACAAATTTAAATATATTGTCAGACAATAAGGCTTTAAGTAAATTCACAATTTTTTCAAAGATGCTTCAATGTATTTCTTGGAACCCCAGACAAATTGCTGATAAAGATATGATTTTATTGTAGTGAAAGAGTATCTTATAGATTACCTGTAAGATTGTGTCTCCAGGCTGCATATCTGTGTAGACATTCACGTTGTAGGAGACGTTAGGGAAGGTAGGTGTGTTGTCATTGGCGTCAATCACAGTGATATTAACAGTGACTGGAGAGCTCTCCTGAACTCCATCTGAGGCAGTCATCTACAAAAGAAGTAATGCAACTGTTAATATCAAAACAGTGAGGCAGAGAAACACACTTATCGCAGTGAAAAGAACCACATTTGGTTCTTAATTTCAAAATTACACATATTGTGCACAGATAAATCATTGCAAATCAGCCATTTTAGAAAAGGAAAGCTAAAAGCAAAATTTGAAAATTGCTGCTAACTACCTATCAGCAAACAGATACTGTGATATAAAAGGCCTCTTGCATTTTCCCTTTGCTTATTGTGATAGCAGAAGCCTAGCCAAATTATTCAAATTAATGCTCTTGCGTGGAGAGAACAGTCCATTGGCGGTACTCCCAACTGCCTCACTAGCTGTCAACTAGACTAATGGGATATCACAGAGAGGTTGTGGACTGCACTGTGAGGCTTAAGCAACTCTTTAGTGAATTTACACCAATCATTTTTAATTTTATTTCATATTACAACATTTTTCATGATAATTAAGCAAAATATGTATAGAATTAAAATTAAAATCCTTTAAAAACATAATCTTAATCTTCACGCAAAAAGTACTTAATAAAAACTTAAATACTTGAAATATGTAGACAGTACTTCAAGTAGTAGTAGTATTAGTAGTAGTAGTAGTAGTAGTAGTAATAATAAACTGCCTCACTAGCTGTCAACTAGACTAATGGGATATCACAGAGAGGTTGTGGACTGCACTGTGAGAAGGGCGAAGTGTTTCTGTCAATCTCCACAAGGAATAAAAAAGCTGAAGCTCGAGCACAAAAGGAGGTAGTCAAGTCAAATATCATGAATAAAAGACAACACCAATGAAAACGTGTTAATAACTGATGGTCGGACATGAATTTTTTGCAGGCAATGCAGATATAAAGGTGATAAAGGCCTATATAATCACACAATTTCATTTAAATAACACATTCAGAATTTCTGCAGTCAAATTTAAATTCATGTAACATAATATGTGCTAAAGTAATTTCAAAAAGAAATAATTAGGAAATGAATACATTTTGAAACAAGAAATCTGAAGTTGATAAAAATAAATAAATAAATAAATAAATACTCCAAATAGGATTATGTAATAGCAAACAATAATAATAATTAAAAAAAACACACACATAAAAAGAAAGTAAATACTGTAGCCAATAGTACACTCAATGTTTGGACTGGTAATCATAATTTTGAAAAAGACCAGGTAAGGCTTATTTTTTCTATACAGTACATAGCAAATATGACATAGCGACAAACAGCTGGATAAGCAGAATTAGCAGCATTAAATGTTTTTTTTTCTTTATATATTTAGATAAGACTTACTTGAAATGCATATTTGCTAAATGCAGACAGTATATGAATAAAGTCTAATAATTGCTATTCAATTATTAGACAGAACTGTTAAACAAAGACAGTAAACTAATAAAGATGGAGAATGGGCGCTCATGTGCTTGGTTCCCAACACTTTTAAAATAAAAGTCCTACTCATGATGCTTCTTGGTGAAACAGAAAATTATCGGCCGGTGATGTGATTAATAAAAAATTGCAATTATTGCCTGAAAATATCAGCTTTGGCAATTTACTGGTCAACCAATTGTTTAATTTGTGGCCTTTGGTAAGGTTAGCATCACTACTACTATTGTTTGCATTTCAGTCAGTAAAGCATAAAGTATAGTTTGGTTTCTACATGTATGCTAGGAAATGTGAACTGTGTGAATTTTGTCATTAGCACAGCAAAGTATTCATATGCTGTTCATGTGCACAACGATTTATCAAATTGTGTGAAATCTGCACACACAGTTCACACATACGCCTTTAAATGTGCCTATGCAATAGTTGTCCACAAGGTGTCCACAAGGTGGCAACACTCACTCGGACTGTTGTTTCACAGTCGGAAAAGATACAGGAGAGACAGAAAAACAACAGGTGCAAACTACTTGAGACTTTTGTTATTGTTGTTTTCATCACCCGTAACTTCTGGAGAGAAATAGCGCAGACACTGGACAAGGATGAAACTTTCTAGTTTGTTAGCAGACTTTCTAGTCCGACACTTTCTTTTGATGCCTGACTTTCTAATTTGCTATCAAATGAAGCATACCTTGAAAGAAAATTCAACATTCAACAAAATGTAAACAAAATGAAGTCTACTATGGTGATAATCCCCACCAACAACACTCCAGCAACCACATAGTTACACAGTGTTGGGGGTAACGCATTACAAGTAACGCGAGTTACGTAATCAGATTACTTTTTTCAAGTAACTAGTAAAGTAACATATTACATTTTAATTAACAAGAAAATATCTGAGTTACCTTTTCAAAAAACTAACACCAGTTACTTTGTTTTCCCATTTATTGACTGACAAGTCTCCTGTCCCCATATTGGGAGAAATCGGAAGTACAGAGGCGTTGTGTGCACTGTGTGAACATAACGTAGTTCTAGACTAAATGTGAATGTGCATTAATTCATCCCACTCGCAAAACAACAGATTTAGTATTCATCAAAATGAATTAAAACAGTGAAATGCAAACTCAGAATATGACGCAAACCTGCAATAATTAAATTTGTTAAATAACACAAATGTATCTAATCCCATTTTATTAACTAATGTCTTTGCTGCTGACCTTTGATGATCCAGTTCAACCATACTAATAAGCACAAATGACTTTAGATAAACTAACATTTTTGCTTCATTGTTTGTTTTTTTATTGCTGAAGAGTGTTGAACCTTCTTCTCATGTGTTCTACTGTACAGATGTGAATTTACATTTCCTTCAGCCTGAGGTTTATTCATTACACTTTTTGGTGTGAAAGGGCTTTTATATTTGCTATAAATAGAACTTCTTATATTAAAAACAATCAAGCCCTGCTCATATTTAAAAAGTAACGCGAAAGTAACGCAAAAGTAACGTAACGCATTACTTTCCATAAAAAGTAACTAAGTAACATAATTAGTTACTTTTTTAGGGAGTAACGCAATATTGTAATGCATTACTTTTAAAAGTAACTTTCCCCAACATTGGTTACACAAGGCTCCCAGAACTTAGCATCCATGACAGCATGCTAATAAATTTGCATTGTAGCAGCTAGTTTTGCACATTTTCTTTGCAAAGTATAACAATATAATGTTTATTGTTAATGTATTATTATTTTTATGACAGTAGCTAACAATACCAACATGTTTTTTGGCAGAAACTATGGTCACTACAGTATATTTTCATAATGGTTATCCTTGGAATGCTACTCAAGGATGTAGGATCTCAAAAAATCAGCTGCAAGCGCAATGCTCTGTGTTATTTCAGAGAACAATTTCATCCAAATTAACCGCATCATGGGTATAACAACGTGGCCCAACAGACTCGTTTAAACAAGCAAAAACAATGTTTATTGGCTACAAAGATAGGAAAAATGAGATACTTGATATTCCACTGCTCTGGCAAACAAAGTTCATATTGTCGCAAAACCGATAATGGCATCTCTAAGCAGCCATTTGTACTGTATGTGACACACTAGCCTAACATGGCACAGTAACATCACCGGCAGGACCCCAACTCCTCTGTTCCCTTAGACGAGACCAGATGGTTTCAGTTTCTGAAAGAATCGGCACTCAGCGGGCGTAAGGCGTAGTGCAGTGAATGTTAAGTCCTGCAGCTCACGTCCCACGAGCCGACCGCAACGCATGTCTGACTGAGAATCAGCATTCATTCCCAGCGCCCGTCACAATTTAGTGTTCTCATACCGCAATTACACACTCCTATAGAATCGGGCACAAAGGTCTTTTCAGCATGAAAGCATGGTGAGAAATGTCTAGTGATAAGCCCAAAGCATACTTTGGTTTTTACGTGTATGCTAGGGCATGCGTACAATGCATTCCCTATGCAATTTTCTATCCACACATACTCTGTACTCATTTGTTCGTCCACAAGGCTGTTGTTTCACAGTTGAAAAACAAATGAAGGAGACATAACAACAACAACAAACTACTGTGGCCTATTTCAGGAAGCTGGTGGGGGGTGGGGGGTGAATTGGTTTAATTCTGGTTAGAGATTGCAAAAATAAAATAAAAAACTGGACCAATAAGCTTTGCGCAAAGTGACATACATATATCTGATGGAAATAAAGTCACTCCCACTGTATCTCTTATTCCAATTTAAAGCAATTCACAGTGAAAGCAAAATTGTCTGCAAATTATATTTGTATACTGTATATATATATATATATATATATATATACATACATACACAACAGTTGTCAACAACTTTCTTGTCCTTAAATCTAATCAGCTGATAAGAGTGTGATATTCTAGTGATAACAGAACTCCAACCATTTCACAGTTTGTTTCACTTCACTTGGGGTATTTCTCACAGGCAGTGTCATTGCAGATGCCCAAATCCACTATAATTTTAAAAATGATACTGTTTATGTGTCTCTATGTCAGCTCAACGTTCCTTCATTACTAAAGTGTTAAAGTGACATTTTTAATTAGTAACGGAGGCTTGGGTTCAGCAGCTAAACTGTCAAACTGAGATTTTAATCCGTGGCGGAAGGAAGTAGTCCTGCACAAAATAGAGGGTTTTTAAAGACACTCCGTTGTTGTTTCTTATT